CAAACCATTCGACACCGAGTGGACGTGGAGAGCCATCAAAGACGCCAAAGACGAAGCGGCGGCGAAAGCCGTACTTCGGAACTGGATTCATCGGGCAAGAGCCGAAGAAGTGGTCGACGAACTAATCGAAGGAATCAGAAAAGCTGAGCGCTGTCGTGCCCTCGAATGGCTAGACGAGCTCCGGGGACCAAAGAAATACATCCTACGAACCAAGACCCCCGGACGAGACCTAACCACAAAAGGACAGATCGAAACGCTAGCTTCTCGGGCTACATACCAAGTGACCGCCCTTATCGACAGTGGTTGCACAGGGAGCTCAATCAATTGAGCTTTCGTCGACAAGCATCAGCTCCCAACAAGGGCAACGGCGGCCCCAATACCAGTATATAATGCCGATGGAACAAAAAACCAGGCTGGTTCCATCACAGAATTCGTCGAACTTAGGTTGACCATCAGAGATCACTCCGAACGAATCGATCTAGCAGTAACAGATCTCGGAACAAAAGAACTCTTTCTCGGTCATGACTGGCTGATCCGCCACAACCCGCTGATCAACTGGAAGACCGGGCGAATCACCTTCGCCAGATGCCGGTGCAGGAAGATCCCATTCGAGTTACCAGATGAAGACCCTGAAGATCGGTGGGACGAGGAGATGGAAGACGGAGAAACCATACTCGCCATAGATCTCCAGAGGGAGATCCACATACGAGCCGTCCACCATGCGAACAACTTAGCCGCTAAGGCGAACCAAGGAAAGGACGAGAAGACGTTTGAAGAAATGGTACCCGAATGGGCGCGGGACTATAAAGACCTCTTCGAGAAAGAGAGCTTTGATGAGTTACCCGCCCCAAAGCCCTGGGACCATGCAATTGAACTGATCCCCAATGCCAGCGCCAACTTGGACTGCAAAACCTATCCTCTTGGTCATCACGAGCAACAGGAGCTTGACAAGTTCCTAGACGAAAACCTATCGAGTGGCAGAATCCGTCCCTCGAAGTCCCCCATGGCCTCTCCCTTCTTCTTCGTCAAGAAGAAGGATGGAAAACTCAGACCGGTCCAAGATTACCGAAAACTCAACGAGATGACCATTAAAAACCGATACCCACTTCCTTTGATATCGGAACTAATGGACAAGCTCCGAGGCGCCAAATACTACACAAAACTCGACGTACGGTGGGGATATAACAACGTCAGGATCAAGGAGGGGGACGAGTGGAAGGCCACATTCCGCACTAATCGGGGACTGTTCGAGCCAACGGTCATGTTCTTCGGGCTCACAAACTCCCTGGCTACCTTCCAGTGGATGATGAACGATATCTTTAAAGACCTCATCGCCATGGGGAAGGTAACGATTTACCTCGACGACATTCTAATCATGTCCAAGACAAAAGAGGAACATCGGGATCTGGTGCGAAAAGTGCTATCCCTGATGAGGAAGCACAAACTGTTCCTCAAAGCCGAGAAGTGCGAGTTCGAAGTATTGGAAACGGAATACCTTGGGGTGATCATCAGCGAAGGAAGCATCCGAATGGATCTGATAAAAGTAGCAGGGGTCACCGAGTGGCCAGAACCCAGTAAAAAGAAGGAATTACAATCGTTTCTTGGGTTCACAAACTTTTATCGACGGTTCATCCGTGACTACAGCAAGATCGTTCGCCCGATGACACAGCTGACAGGCAACGCTCCCTGGAAATGGGGGCTCTCTCAACAGAACGCCTTTGATGATCTCAAACGGCAACTAGTGGAAGACGTTGTCCTAGCCATCCCAACCCAGGAAGGGAAGTTCAGAGTAGAAGCCGATTCAAGTGAGGGAGCAATCGGAGCTGTTCTTTCCCAAGAACAAGGGGGAAAATGGCGACCCGTAGCCTTCCTCTCCAAGGCTCTAACCGTCACGGAACGAAACTATGAAATCTACGACAAGGAACTGCTCGCCATCATGCTCGCCTTGGAAGAATGGCGACACTACCTCATTGGGGCCGAAGAAATATTTGAAGTCTGGACAGACCACCAAAACCTACGATATTTCCGACAGCCACAAAAACTCAATCGACGACAAGCCCGCTGGGTAACGGAACTCAGCCAATACCAGTATACCCTGCATCATAAAGCGGGAACGGCAAATAAGAAGGCTGACCTGCTAAGCCGACGATCCGATCACGATCAAGGGGGAACTGATAACGAAGGAGTAACCCTATTATGGCCGGAACATTTCCGAGCCATGATAATGCCCTCAGAGGAGGAGATACATGAACGGATCAAGAGTGCGACACAGGACAACCACAAGTGGGACCAATGGGTAGCCCCGTCACTTAACCATGAGCGGGGAATGACAAAGGAAGGAGGTCTGATCCGCTATGACGGACGCATCTACATTCCCCGGGACCAACAGCTACGCGGCGAGATCATCGCCACCTGCCATGACCACATAACAGCGGGACATCCGGGCATTGCCAAAACCAAGGAGCTCGTATTACGAGAATATTGGTGGCCGAAAATGGGAAACGACATCACAGCATATGTAAAGGCCTGCGAGACTTGCCAACGAGGGAAGTCCTCTACACAAGCCCGAGCAGCACCCCTATATCCTAACGAAGTGCCCTCGACCCCATGGACACACATTTCGGTCGACATGATCACAGGTTTACCCGAGTGTAATGGATATGATGCAATCCTCGTCATAGTAGACCGATTCTCCAAGGCAATCATCCCGATTTCGTGCTCCACGGAGTTAAATTCTGAAGGATGGGCCAAAATCTTACGAGACGAAGTATACGCCAAACACGGGATGCCCCAAGTCATCATCTCAGACAGAGGCCCCCAATTTGTTTCAAAATTCATCACCGACTTATACCGCCTCTTAAACATCAAGCAAAACGCATCCACCGCCTATCATCCTCAAATGGATGGTCAGACGGAACACGTTAATCAAGAAATTGAAAAGTACTTACGGCTTTTCATCAATTACCGACAAGATGATTGGACTGAATGGCTTGCACTCGCAGCCTTTCAACATAACAACCGTGTACACTCCGCGACGGGAAAGACCCCATTCTTTATTAACCATGGACGACACCCTCACGTGACTCAGACAAGTCACCTTCACACGACTACACCCGCATCTTCTGATTTCGCCGCCGCTATGGAAAAAATCCATAACGAAACAAAGACTGCTTTGGAGAAGGCTGCAACGACGATGAAAAGGAACTATGACAAACACCGACGCACAAGTCGGGTATACCAGCCAAACGACAAAGTATGGCTGGACACAACGAACCTTCATTTACCGCGCCCAAAAAAGAAACTCGCCGATAAACGTACGGGTCCCTTCATAGTCCTAAAAGCCATTGGTCCAAGCGCATACAAACTGCGGCTGCCAAAAGCTTGGAAAATCCACGACGTCTTCAACGAATCACTCTTAAACCCCTACATAGCGCCAGCCTTCCCTAACCAGGAATGTCCACTGCCCCCACCGCCAGATCTCATCGACGACGAGGAACACTTCGAAATCGATCAAATCCTCGATCACAAACTGTGCTGCGTCAAGGCAAAAGGGGGCGGAATGACAACAACAGTTGACTACCTAGTCAGCTGGAAGGGGTACGGCCCAGAATCTAACCAGTGGGTAAACGAAAAATATATGGACACAGAGACAGCAATACACGAATATGAATTATCCCTTAATTAAGCCATCGGGACGATGGTCTTAACAAGGGGGTAATGTTATGATTTTTCCCTTTTCTTTTCCTTTTTACCCCTATTCAGGCTTAGTCAGAACACGAGACCATGGGAAGGGCTTAGTAAGCACAACTGAGCCGCCTAGATACAACGACGCTCGACAACGCACAATTACCCTTTTATGCACAACAACGATGCTCAAGGGCGACGAGCACCATGGACACAGAACGACACAATAAGTAGTCATATTATTAGCCTTACCTGTACAGTATTTAAGACTGACAGCTCTCGCTGGTATACCCCAGCTTCGAGCTAAAGTTTATACATACCATTCTACCTCGAGTCTATATCTGACCTTGAGTCACACCATCCGGATATACATATAGTGAACTCAGGTGATTCCTTGAAGTGCGAAGGAACACCTGTTTATCACGTGTATCAGTTCACGTGACGCTTGGGCTTAACAGAAATTATCTTATTGTTTTCATTATTACTTGTCTTTACTAGTCATACTGCTGTCTTACTTTACATCATACCACTATATAGGATTACCAGTATATAAGTAGCTACAGTATGTAGATTTAAATATTATATGTCATATCTCCCTCTTTCTCACAATTCCACTCTCTGTTTTACTCCTAACATTCATCAAGTATCTACAGAAGTGATGATCCATCTAGTGTTAGTAAGGAAGAGACTAAGATAATGTTAAGTATTTTGCTAGCAGTATAAATCAATAGGGCAATGACAAATGTAGTTTATAAAATGGTAGTATAAAAGTTAACAAAGTGGTATGGATATCACTTACATGTGGACTTTAAGTGATGTATTTTTAGGACATCCATGTGATGAGCAAAGGTACATCTTTCTGGCATGAGAAATTTTCAACGGTTCCATAATGGCTGTAGTATGATAATGCTTGACCATGCAGGAGAAGCCGCAAGTGGACCCTACTTCCGGGTTTGATGCGATAATTTTCCCTGCATATAATTTTAGAAGACCTCTATTGTAAGCGTTCCATCTTTCGTTGATGGACTATCCTTTTCTGATGCCGTTGCTAGCGCCTGCTTCTCCGGTTGGTGACACCGTATAACATTCCACGTGATACGATGCTCGTAGTCAGTGCATTTGCATAGTCAGGATAACCTGGACTGTTACGATCGACCACCATGGGAAGATCTAGGAGCTATATAATGAATAAATTTCGCTTTGCGGCCTTGAACGTGTCAATCTTGTTCAATTATAGATGGTTGCCAAGATTCGGGCCGAACATCCGAAATCCCGGAGCAGAACCCTAACCCAACGCTGTTGCTTTATCTCCAACCATCAGCATGACTGAGATCATGGAGGATGATGTCGACGACGTGCAGCCGTCACACATACCGCCACCAACGAACTCAAACACAACTTTTTGTACTTGTGCAGTGGCCCCGCTGCCTCCTTATGCCAGCAGAGACATTGAGCTTGCAGAGACTCATGCGAATGAGAGTGGAGGTCTTTTGTATTCCGGTAGCTACTGCTCTTTCGTTTGATGGTGCTGGCTTATCTTTCTCTTTTTTACAGCCAACGCAAATGCAGTAGCCCTTTCTAATCCACCTACCTTGTGATTAATTATTCATTGTCGATACTTCAATAACTAATAGCTCGCTTAGGACCTATGCCTCGAAACTGTCTTCCAAGTACGTGTCCCCACCGCTCTATTTTATAAAATCTGATTGATATTTGAAGGAGAGGGCTTCGAGCCATAGTAATCTTCATAATCTGCATGTTCCTACTCGTTCTTCACCTCCGCGCCGAATCCGCGAAGAAGAAGAGACATCAGCTCATACACGATGGTCTCGCATGGGCTGACATAACTCCGTCAAAACGATGTCTCCGCTATGGCACCCGCGAGTACTCTGCTCAGCTGATGGGCGTACCTAGAGGCGAACATGGCTTGCGTTGGTGCAAGGAGAAGGAGATTACCATTCACGGCATCGATTTTGAAAAGCCAGGGTATTGCACTGTCGACAGGGATTATTCGGTGAGTCAAGCATTGTATCCAGAAATCGTGTTGTCTGATCTTCCTTTAGGTGCCCACGAAACGCCGATTTTACGGACATTGGACGGTCGAGTCCAATGAGCCAAGCTGTAAGACGCTGTGGGAGAATTTCCAGGATAAGGTGTGATCTGCTTTCGATTCATTGATAATCGGCGATTTGACAGGTTCTGCAGGGATGTGTTGCGAAGGGTTCGATGCGCCGTGTATGTCCATCTGTGTTGATGTATCAACTAGGCTAATGTCGCTGCAGCGTATCGAAGCTCATATGGGGAATCACCAGCCACCATGGGATAATTGGCGAGAGATGTGTTCTACTACCCCCGCGGACTATGATGGGCATCATTTCGATCAGCCAGATAGCTGTGACCACAGGGTAAGAGGCATTGGTACTCTATGGCTCGCGTGAGATTGCTTAAGTTCGCCATCTAGGGTGTTTTCGGTGGCGTATGGGGTGTTTGGTTCATCAATGATGAGAGCTGCTGATCTGAACTATACTGTCAACTTCGTGTTTTTAGATCACCTACCATTTCTCTTCGTACATTTTACACTTCAGTCTCTTCGAGCGATGTGTCGACTCATATGAGGGACCCCATATCAACTCAGCCTATGTGTGAGGATTAGCTGACAGACCATATGACAGGACACCTCGAGAGGGAAGATATCAATCAAAGATGCCACTGGTATGACGCACGCATTCAAAATCATCACCCTCCATGCTTGCCCAATACCCGACGGCTATATTCACTACTAGGCAGCAACGGAGATGATGCCATCCCGGAACGTATGCGAGGCAATTTCATGAAGCATTGCGTAGTCGGGTGGAAACGTCGGGATGGAAGGTTTGAGAAAATATCAGTGTTCAGTATGGCAGATGACAGAGAACGGGTGAGGTTTTCGGGACTCAAAGTCAGGCAAAGAAATGTTAAAACGGGTCTTTGTTGATTTAATCAGGTTTAACGCTTGCTCTTGCTTGATTCTAATTGTGACGAAGAACAGTGCTGGGCCACTGCTTAGACTCACCAAATGATGGGGTAGTTTTAATATTCTTCTTTATCTGCCCCTATACCGTTCTCTCACTGTTGTAGTATTAAAGATTTTCTGTGCCGTTTCTTTTCCATCAAATTTATTTTCGCTTGGTTGGAGTAGTACACACATTCATGCATTGTTGCGCTACTACGCGACAGAGGCGAGAGGGAATCAAGTACGTAAAAGACAAAATTTTTCATGGCGGAGATTTCACTCGGATATGATGCCTAAGGCCTGAGGCCTTGAGGCGCTAACCCCCCTGCACAGCCACATTCTTCTTCTTCTCTCGACTACATTGATCGCCGATGCCCTCCATACACAATCTGTGTCTGTAGAAAAGGGTAGAATTATGGAGGGCAATTGATGTTGATATTGATACTATTTCTGCAATACTCTGGGATGCCGGGACAATAGCGGGATTAGGTGAGTATTGTATCTACCAGGAATGAGTGCAATCGCTAACTGGAGACATTATCAAGGCAGGGGTGACCTTTACCTGATCTTTGGGTCGTCAATTATTCCTGTAAATTCTGTAGTTAACTTTAAAAGTGTCAGTACAGCTTTCAGCATACAGTTGGCTTATGACGTGATTCCCGGTCTGTTCATGAACCAATGATTTCCCTTGCCATCAAACATTTCCTCTTATTTCCATATGTTTCTCTCACATTTTCATCTCGTCTTCCCAGTTTTGGACTCAGGCCTGCTCAGACCGCGATATGAAACTGCCCGCAAACATTGCCTACCGACGAAAAATTACTTTTCCTGTTATGAAAGGTCGGCATAAGGCGTATGTCTATCGGATCTCATTTCGCTTCAGCTTTGACTGACTTCAGTTTCGACATTCCTTCCTGCTCTTCGACCCCATTGGATTCCATCATTCGCAGCCTTCCTAGTTCATAAACCAGTTTTCTAGACCTCCTTCACTACAGGTGTCAACTGGAGAGAGTTGGTTTGCAGGTGATGGGGGAAGCACTGCAGAAAGAGCAGTTACATTGTGGGTACTGGCGAGTTATTGAACATTTCTGGAATTTTGACCCCACTAATTCATTCTTTTTGATGCATCCAGAAGACGATCTGAACGTGGACCAGAATCTTCTTGTCAACCATCAAGATTTCTTTGTTCTGGCAGGCCAATTCTCAAGTTGATGATCCCACCGGTCTTCCTTGCATTTATCAGCCAGGTCTATACCCTTCAGTCACACTACCAGTCGACATCCTATATTCTATGAGGAAGATATCAATCACATCCAAGAAGATGACCCAAATTCCAGTTCAAACAACCAACTTCCATGTGCTGAAACCCATACCAGCTATTGAGATACTACCCACAGATCAAGGACCACTGTTTGGAGAGTGATGGGGCCCTACTTGCTTTGGGCTTACAGCAGTCATTGTTGTGCTACGTTGATGTGCACATGTGGAGCTTGATGGTCAGAAGCAAGGGCATGGGAGATGACTCAGAATTCATGGGTATTTACTATTCAAATTGCTGATGATTCAGTGACACATGATTTGACCTGGAGGTTGAAAGGAAAAGTTTGTATGGGATGTAGGAGATTTTGTGCCACTAGACTCTGCTCATTGGCTTGGTTACATGGTCTTGTATCACTCCCATTGTCCATTGCATTGTACCTTACAAGTATGATTATGCCACCTATGTAGTGTAGTATATGAGTAGCTACAGCTCATTGCACGGGGGACATCTCCCTCTTTTTTGCCATCCCACTCCCTGTTCTACAGCCAACAATGACTGATTACCTACATGAGTTTCATAACACTCTGCTGGCATGGTTTCTCACTCTTTTCAGTGCTACTTTGTGAGTAGCTGGCTGTTTTATATATGGAGCAGTATTTGATGAATGATCGATCACCGTAGAGGAAATAATACCATCTCGTTCAAGGGAACCGAATCGGCGACGACGCAGGAGTCGTCGACTTGTAACCCTACGTGTATGTTGTTTTTGGTAATATTGTATTTTGGATTCTGATGAGAGCTATTTAGTCATGACTGGGAGATATGCGTAGATCCAGGCTGATGCGAATAGGTATGATAGTGATAATACGTGCGCTTTTTGGAGGGCGTTTGCTAGTCGGGGGCTGGGGGTAAACGCCGCCAATCACAGTGATGATGATGCGGTTCCGTTGGGATGTTGATATTAATGGGAGAAGAAATCTTTTGTTATTAAAATGATAATTCCATAAAGCAATCTACTTAAATTTACTCTGACGAACCATGATTACGGACTCCATCCAGTAAGGTTAGGGTTTGAATCCGATCACGGATTTTTTCATTCTGATCCGTACCATCCTCAACTCTTTTTGTTCTCGTCCGGAATTGGATACTATACTCAGTGCTAGAGAATTTTTTTTACTGTTTTATCTTCCATGGAAAGAGTGGATTTTGATTCTTGTTCCAAGCTTGTACAATGTCTGTACCAGCGCTTCAAATAATAACGTGCTTTTGAGAGATAGATCGTCGACTCATTATTGTTGGACGCCGGCTAAATTGGGTGATTCTTTGCAAAGAGACGAAACTGGCAATATATATTATCTTTTACATCGATTCATCGAGTTTGGGGAAACGAATCTTGAGCGCTTGCGGCGCTCCTTGAGCTTGAACCTACCGTTAGACCAGTCTGTATAGGATCAGAGCGGAAAGTAGTCACCGTTGACTCTCTGTAGACTGTGAGTAGTTGCGATCTAAATCAATGCGGGACATCTCTGGAGGAATGTTCTGATGGTTTCCTCTGATATTTTATGAAATAGGAACGGAGCTCAAGGTCCTTGCAGTGAAAGTTTTTTTTTAGTCATTTCCTTGGCGTTTCATGTGCACTGATATTAGGAGTTGACCGTCTGTTCGGATGGCCTGAACGTTGCTTCCTCTTATCTCGGCGTCGCTATTAGGGGAACGATACGAACATGGTCTTTCTATGGCCGAGTCTTAAATACGGTAACTGCACCAAAAAATTCCCTGAAGTCGGTAGAATATACCCGTAATTGGTCAGCATTCTATTCAGCCCGATGGGACCACGAGGAGGGGTAAATATCCTTGCAATCCTGTAGCACAACCAAAACTGGACACTGAGTTGCCGCGTTAGGATCGAGACAATGTTGATCTGTTTTTGGTATTCAATTCACACTACTACAATGCCATTTCCGATTTCTACTCCCCCTATTACAATATTCAAGCTGCGATATTCACGTATCAGAAAACGTTTGTTGATTTGTGAATGTTCTTGCATGTGTTTAGCTGTGTACGGAGATAGAGTCTTTCGTCCGCGGAGATACTGTACTATTTCTATGGATTCGGTGGTGTGACCTGTGACCTGACGGACGAATTTTTGGATTCGTCAGTCGCCGGTCTCGAGGGCCGCCGAAAATCCTCGGCATGTCTCTTTTTAGGTATGCGTAGGCAGGTTGACGGTGCTGTGACCCGTGACGCGGACGAAAATTTGTCACCATCAAGGGCCCTCGGATGCGCGGCCGACGTAAGGATCGAAATGATAGAGTAATCATCTCTGCGCCCGTGTTTCATTACGGCCTCGAGGCACTGCTTTCGCGCATGCTGGAGTCGCCTCTTGTGCCTTTGAACCGACTTCGCCGTACCAGGTCTTCATTTCCTAGGGTCCTATGGAGCCGATAGGGCCTTTACTCTTTCCTTGGAGCCAGGACATTATATTTCTATCTTGCGAGTCTTGCAAGGATTTTGGATTTGTCAACACCTGTCCGGCTCGGTAGAAAGCTGATTTTAACCTGACGCAAACCTGACGACGGGTAGGATCATTGATAATCCGGTTACGGCTTTACTCCTTTTAGTTGGTGCCAGTATGCCTCGACCTTCTGCCTAGGATGAAAGTTGTCTGTTAACCTCCCGCGACGGTGCAACTTTTTCTTATTAAATATGATACGCGCTTGAGTGCATATCTAAAAGAAACCCGACTTTCGGCTTTGGGCGGCTTCTGTGCCGTTAACGCCCAAAATAATTTCATACATCGAACGGCCAACACATGGAACAGAACAAAAACCGCGGAACTGTCATAGGCCTCGGACATGTTGTATGTCCCTGTTCGTCAATGAACGAGTCCTTTTCCTCTTACCCTTTGCTGGGATTCACTCTTATACCGCCGTAGGACGACTCTAATTCCCATTTCTTGCTCATCTGCACAGTCATCGTTACTCTTGCCATGTCGTGGACACCTAAACGTTCTCTTTCTGAAAGTAAGCTGGCGCTCGTCATGTGGTTATCTCTCTCTCACGATATCTTCTCCCAAAATCCTCGCAGCCGAGGACATACTCTGCGCTCCCGGATGTCTTCACGAAGTAGAGACTCGCTTAGTCGACGGCAAACTCCTCAAGGTCTACAAGAACTTGGCCCCAACGCTCCGCGACTTCTGGGTGTCGGCCGTGGACAAAAATGGCGACAAAACGTACATCGCATTTGAGAGCGAGCGCTATACTTACCGCCAGGTTTTTGACCGCTCGGTGCGTACAGCGGGCATCTTCTACACTGTTTACGGTATTAGGAAAGGTAGTCTCTTTGTGCTCTATGTCCAGCTCTTCTTTTTCATTGTCGCGCTCCTTGTTAGGTGACCGAGTTGCCTTGTGCTCTAGAAATGTAGCCGAGTATTTAGTCATTTTTTGGGCCGTCCGTAAGTTGTTCTCAATGACCCTTGACTACGATCACTTATTCTTCTTTGATAGACCTCCTTGGCGCCGTTCCAGTTCTTGTCAATGCGTAAGCCATCTTGTCAGTTTATATTGTGTCTACGACTGCTAATCAGTCGCCCACTCAGATGGCTCCCTCTCGAGCCGCTGACCTTTTGTCTCGTACATACCCAGCCCCGATTACTCATAGTTGACGCTGAACGTTCCATTGTTCTTGCGCCTGCCATTGACAAAACATGTGCCGAAGCTGGAATCGTCGCTGTCTTGGTTTTGCATCCAAAAGATTTCCCTCAAGGGATGGAGAGCTATCACGATGCCGTCGACAAATACCTAGGTGCCTACAGGGATATTTTCGAAAATTATCCTACTATCAGCCCCGAGGACAACGCTGCCATAATGTTCACTTCCGGTAAATATGTCAACCTCCTAATTTTTATATTCGTTCACCGACCATACTGCCCTAGGTACGACCGGCTTACCGAAGGGCGTATTAAGCACTCAGCGCCAGTTTCTCACAAATACTCTCAACGTACGCGGCTGTTCTTCGTTGCAGTCATCGCTCACATAACACGCAGACTATCGTTGGTGGAAGGCGAGCGCTCCTCAGACGAGGAGGAAATCTCCCGGACCCTGCGGCCCCGGTTCAAGGACCCCAAAAGGGCGCCCTCATCGCCGTACCGCTCTTTCACGTTACCGGAACTACTAGCTATAGCGTACGCCCTTCTGCTTTATGCTGGATGATTCATGCTCACTCACTTGTTTAGATGTTGGCAACCATGTCCGGGATGAAGATTATCCTCATGACCAAGTGGATTCCAGAAGAAGGTTCGTACGATTACAGGTCTGCCGCGTCGAATTCTTACTGAAATATTTCTGTTTAGCTTCTCGGTATGCTTGTCGTTGGGTTTATTGGGTAATGGAATTTATATTGGATAACTAGACTGATAAGAGAAGAAAATGTCAGCGTCGCTGGAGGGTATGATATTATTCATCGTCATATCATCGATGTCTGATGTCTCCGCATCCAGTGTCCCAGCTATGGTCTCCGACCTCATGGACAGCTCTCTTGCCGGGTACCCCCTCGATGGCCTATTCTTCGGTGGATCGCCAGCTCCCGAAGTTCTCTCCTCTAGAGCGAGAGAAGTCTTCCCGACTGCAGAATTGTGCGTCACCTGGAAACACGATGATACCGTGGCCCGGAGGTTCTGATCATGCATTCCTTAGGAGCCAAGGCTACGGGTTGACAGAAACCAATTCCATATCGGTCGCAGTAAGTTTTGCTTTTGGTTGTATTGAACAGAAAAAAAAACAATTCCTGACCGATCTGGAGATCGCGGGAGAGGATTATGTGACTCGGCCAGGTAGCACGTAGGTGTTATTTATGTTTAGTTCTCCTTCAGATGCTGATGCGGCTCGGCTAGCGGGCTACCTTCGCCTGTAAATGAGGTCGCTATCGTCGAGGATGGGGTTCGACTTCCCAGAGGCCAGATCGGCGAAGTTTGGCTGTACGTTTTTTCTTTCCTGATATCGATCCGTCTTTTTTGGCACTCCTTCACAACTTCAATTCATTCTAGACGCGGACCCAATGTCATGAAAGGATACTGGCGTGATCCAGGTTGGTTCACAGCCACTCTTAAATGCTTACACTTACCTGATTCTATTCTGTTTCTGTAGTTGCCACAAAGAGCGTGCTTACAACCGATGGATGGCTCAAGTCGGGTGATTTGGGAGTGCAAGACCAAGATGGATTTCTCTATATCAAAGATCGAAGTAGGTCACTTTGCAAAGTCCCATTTTTTTTTTCCTTTGACTTAAACAATGCACCAGTCAAAGATATCATCATCCGCGGGGGTGAAAGTATCGTATGTTCCGGTCTGGCTTGTTCCGTCTGTCTCCGTGAGCTTACTCTCCGTGCCTCATGTTGATAGTCATCGATCTCCATCGAAAATGCGCTGTACAATGATTCGCGACTGGCTGAAGTAGCGGCCGTGGGTCTTCCGGACCCCCGTCTGGGTGAACTCGTCGCAGCCGTCGTTTCGGTAAAGCATGCCTTCAAGGGAAAGGTGACGGAGGAGTCTGTGTTGGCACTTGCGCGCAAGAGGTTGGTTTTATTCCCTCTTTGTTCTTGGGTAAAAATTATTTTTTCGTATTTCTAGCCTGCCGAGATATGCCATTCCTGTGATGATCCTTGTTCAGGAGACCCCATTCGGTGCGTGCCAGAACACTCTGTTGTCTGAACTGGATCTTCATGGGGGTTTGTGTGCTATAGAGCTGACGCCATCTGGAAAGATCGTGAAAGGCAGTCTGCGCACGCTGGCTCAGGGGGAATGGAAGAAGCGGAATGGCGTGGCCTCGGGAGTGCAGAGCCGTTTGTAGGATCTTTGAGTGTTGGGTCTATGGTTTGTTGGGCCGTGAATTTGAGATTTATATGCACTCGTATCTTCATATGGAATTATCTTTGTTTCTGCTTCAGGAGAAATATGATTAACTAACTATTCACGTTTATGCGAACGAAATAATACGCTATTCTGGTATAAGGGTACAAGTTCTCTTCAACTGATGTGCGGAAGGTAGTGTCAGAAGATGCCGGCGCCCCGGAGGCCTGGCTATTCTTCGATTTTGTTCCAATATTTAATGTTTAAGACATTGTTGCCCATTGCAATATGTTCCAATGTGTTTCTATTCCAACACCACAATAAATATACTTTATGCTAATGATACCTGATGGCCCCTTGCATTGCAACAAGCATATAGCTCTGAATTGGAATAAAAAACTAAATGCAGCTGTCATGTTGGAACACAAGTCCTTATTGCAATAGCCTGTTCTATTGCTATATTCCAACACCTTGCAATGTAGACCTGGTTCGCCATCTTCTCATCCAATACTAGAACCTGTTCCAACACAATCCTGTAAGCATGTTGCAACACACCTGTTGCATGGTCATTCCAACACCATGCTGTTCAAATAATCCTGGCCTATTACCAAATACTTATCCCTTGAAACAGTCCACTTGCTCAATGTATCCAATGTATCTTGATGTCTATCTACACATAGTCAGTCAGAAGCCTGGGAAACTGTGATAGTCTGCAGTGCCAGTTACAGGTCCTCAGTCACTGAATAATGTAGAGATGCTTCACCTTATTCTGTATTGCAGGATGAAGCCTCTCTTTCACAGATTGGCAGGGCATAGTGGTAGGTTGGAGAAAACACCTTCAGAATAGTGGCAGTCACTCATAAAGTGTCACATGATATGAATCTGACCATAATCTGTGGTTGATGTGCTGCTACATATTTGGTTAGTTCTTTTTTGGTTGTGGGCCATCCTTCTCTACATGCAATGAAAGCTTTTTTGGCAGTTTTCCACATGTCCTGAAATACATGTCCCTTCTGTGCTGCATATGCTGCATAGCCACCAGTGACTTCCTGACCAATGGGCTCTTGTAATTGATATTCTTTTGCTGGTTTGTCCTTCAGATCCAGTCCATGCTAGGACTGATGTGGTGATTTTGCCTCTTGCTTTGCATTTCAGACTTGCTCCATTCTCTGGCATGCAGAGATCTACTGATGAAATTCTTGTTCAAGAATCTCAACTTCCTCATTCAGAACCACTGAAATTATAGAGCTACAAACACTGTCTGTTAATGTCAAGTAACATTTTATAGATTTTGAGCATGTACCATCAAGCAAAAATTCATATTTTTTCACATCAATCATTTCTCTTAACCATCCATATGTCCAAATCCAGCTATCTGTTACTGCACCATCATCTAATCCTCATGTGCCAGCAACATTCTTAGAATATATATCTTCCTTCTTCATCAGTGGAAAGTCAGTTAGTTCCTCCACTCCTTTCAGCCAAAGCAGAGTTATTCATGCTTGATGATATGAAGTATGCTTGTTTTTTTTTTTTTGCTACTGTATTGATATACTTCATTGAGTGGAGATTCATAGTTACACTATGTGAATGTTTTCTCTATGAATCATTTAATGCCATTCTGTGGATGATTCCTATGTACAGTATTGCAATCATATTATTTCTTTATTCTTCATGCAGTTTGTATTCTGTAATTGCAAGATCCTTGAGTCTATAAGTTTGATGGTCAAGTATGTCAAAATCTGAGGAAAGAAGAAAAATGTCATCTTCAGCATTTTTGGCCAGATCATATTCTGTGCTCTCTAGCAGAGGTAATACCTTGATCTACCACTTACAGAACTTGATATTACTGGTGAGAGCCTTTCTCATTTTGTTGATATCATGTGCTGGAGTCTCATTCTTCATGATAATGGATTTTAGCTTGTATCTGTAATACCAGTTAAAACTCTACTAAAACTATACCCAAAATCACTCACTGTCAAACCTGCAGTTTAATCTCATTGTTGATAATACACAGTTGATCAGCATTTTTTTTGTGCTCCTCTTTTGCTAGCTCACCCAATGCATGAACATCCTGATGCTTGGTTAGACTAAAAAGAATATCATTTTGCATATACACTGCAATGAGTCAATGCTTACCATTGTCACAGAAATACAAATAAGCTTACATTTTTGCAATGTCATATGATAAGGACTGCTCCACTCTTTGTCCTTTTCTGATGCCATACAAGACACACATTCTTTATATCACTTTTTCTAGCAAGTTGTCAATTTGTTGCTGTGTACTATGCTCAGTTCCAGAAGAAACTCTGCTATTTTATAAACCTTCTCTGATGCCTTGTTCAGATGTTCACTCAAGTAGTCACCTAAGCCTTTATTACAGACATAATATGTAGCAATATAAACCCAAATATTCAGACAACTGGGTAAAAGATATAAGAATGACTCAGAGTATTGGTCATGAGCAAAAAACCAGGCAGTCTGGAACAGGTGCTGTGTATGGTGTAATTGTCCTCAGATGATAAGGAAGACAGAGAGACATGTGGGTAGACTGGCTAGCCAAGTTAGCTGATTTCAAGCCACTTGGAAATAGTGGGCCTGGTCCTGAGTCAGAGCAGAACACATATGCAAAACTGTGCATGAGAAGGAATGACTATTACAGGGCTTTGAGTAGGAGTTCTGTATGCTAACAATACTATATTAGATTGTATTAAAGTGTGCTATTGTAGAATATTTAAATAATATAGTGTGAAAGTAGTATACAAGTTTTGGACCTCTATTTTTACAGTGTAAAGATATGATGTCCTTGCACTCCAGCCTCTGAGATTTGTTTGTGACTTTAGATGAGAGAATAGACCTTATATTGATATCATTCTGAGTGATTTGAGTGCCACACAAGATATCAAAAGCTAACATGAGACTCAAGTCTGATTTAATAAATAGTTTTGACTTGCACTCTAGCCTGAGAATAAGAGAGAAGTGTTTTGAGGACACTTTTGAGTTTTTGTCATACTTGTGATATAAGGCACTACAGGTGGTAAAAGTTCAAATCTTTTAGCTTGATTAGTGCTCACTTTGTTGGTTATTTCTATAGATTGGCAGAGGTTTAAACACTTTGGATATGTGGATAGTGTTTGGCTGTATTTTATATTTCTCCAGATTGCATAAGTTCAAATCCTGTAGGCCTATGATCAGTTTAGAAGCTTGGGCATATAGATTCAAATCTTGTGGCTCTTGTAGACATATTTGTGAAGTGTTTCTGCTTAGAGTGTGAAGTTTTAAGTTATAGATTGTGTGTATTAAGGTCTCCAAGTTTGGTCTGAGCATTGCTTAGAACTTATTGAGAATTTTGCTGAAGTGTTTGAAGTAGTATGTTGTGTTACAATACTTTTGCCTTGAGGCCCAGTGACATCTGTCACTTCTCTTGTTACACAAAAGCTTTGAGACTTAGAGAGATCTTAACTGTATATGTGCACTATTGCTACTTGTATCCAGTGGATGGTTAAGGATACAATTGCATTAGCTCTGGCTACTCCTATTACATTAGAATCCTCCAACAAGCTTAGAGTATTATGTGTGTGTGTTGGTCTGATGTGGTCAGTGTATAGTTCTATGCTGTGTCAGTTTTCTGGCTTATGCATATAACCACCTCTTCAGTGGTGACCCCTTCTCTGAACCTATTAGGCCTATTGAGAGAAGATAGTGCCTCAATGCTCACTGATCTAGTTGTAAATATTAGCTAGTGAAACTGATTCAATAGATATAGCATATTTATGCAACATTCTACTGTGAAGAATCCTTCTGATGTAGATACACTGCAAGTGTTACGATTTCCTATTCTTTCCCATGATTTAACCCCTATTTATGTCTAGCCAAGGTGCTAGAATGAGTGCTTAAGACCATGGGATATGGCTTAGTCATCACAACTAGCCAAGTCTGTCATTGTCTTTCAATGCAACAGCATTGCTCAGTGACACACAACCAGCCTTTTATGAACAGTAACAATGCTCCAGGACAATGAGCATAGTAGCAGAGGAATATACAATAAGTAGATAGTATTATTAGCAGACCCTATACAGTATTTAAGACTGCTTGCTCTTGCTGGTAATCCCCAGCTTCGAGCTAAAGTTTATTCATCCTCATTCTACTCTTGAGCTAAATCACACAAAGCCTTGAAGCTCAGGGATTCAATAATAGTACATAAAGTGAACTCTAATGGAAGGCTCGAGCACAAAGCCATGTTAGTTTATCATGTGCTAGTTGATCACATGCAGCTTGAGCTTAACAGCAAGCCTTCTCATATTGCACATGCAGGAGATCATCTTGGACTCAGAGGATTTTGATCTGCATCATTTCTTGTTTTATGTCATCACACTGCACACTTATACCTAAGCAAAGCTTATAATTATGCTGTCTATTGGTTAGAAGAGGCTGAACATACATTTGGCTGCCAGAGTTTTCATCTGTAGATTCTCCTTCACTATATCAAGTGTTATCTGTTAGCTAATGACAATATTGATCTTCTCTTTGACTGAACAGGCCAGTTTGTCTTCCTGAACAATATTAACAAGCTGAATTTCTTTGGCAGGAGAAAGTTGCAGCAATTTGCAAATAACATACCCATAGCTACACTGATGATGATGTTAACATTATTAAATGACTTAAGTATTTCACTACTCTCTGAGATGTACTGGCACCCTGTCATGATTTTCACACTTTACTCCTAAAATTGCAACCTGCCAATGCTTACCTAAGTATGACTATAGCATAGCCCTGACCATAGGAAAGCATGGATGACAGCACTATGACAATACAACAAGCTGTGTCTTACTCAGCACCACACAATAAATGATTAGCAATGGCACAATAGCAGATATTACTTCATGCCCTTTTTATAGCAATCACTATGGCATATAATACCCTCACCATAGTAATAGCATAGTGGAATGACAATGATGCCCAACCAGATAAGCACAGTTCTTGTCATTCAAACAATGAGATAGGACCATGGAGATGAGATAATAGTCACCTGTGGAGCAAAGGGTTTTCAGATAAGTATTTAAGGACAGTATCTTACAGTGATATACTCCAGTCTTGAGCTAAAGTTTAATACACCTACTAAACT